CCGTGTTTTTGACCAGTCAGCGGTGATTGACAGGTGAGGCCTTCTGTCATGTAACGGGTCGGATCAAAGCGTCCTGGTGTGGGGAGGGGTCCGGGGGGCTCGGAGTTTATAAGGATAATGAAATTGAAAAGCCCAGTGAATATGAAATCCAGTTCATGAACCTTCACTCTCGCTATATTGAAAATATTATTTGATTTATTTTATTACCTTTATTTTTTTTTATACCAGAAGAAAAAAAAACATTCAAATTTAAATCTCTTTTTTTTATGTGAGCCGAGAAAACAATAAGGAAACAGGTGGACAAATAAAATAAATATTATAATCAGTGTTGGCATGTGATTAAGAAATAATAGTCATGGTAATTGGACGCTTGGCAATATTTTTATTTTATCAAAAGGCAAAATAAAAGAAAAAATTCAATTTATATACATTTTTGGTACGACTTTGATAAACAAACAAGTGAATTATATAAATATTATTAACATCTGCTCTAGTGTTGGGTTTGTCAGGACCAACACTGTTGTAGCTAACGTTAGCCCCGGTGTCTGTACCAGGACTTTTGTTGCTAATGTTAGCCCTGGTGTCTGTACCAGGACTTTTCAATCATTGCGACCATTTTGATTGCCTTTTTAATACGCTCTGGGGTCTGCATTCCTCCAGTTGAGAAACACAAACTTACATGCACAATGGTTGTGTGTCTGTATCAGGACTGTTGTAGCTAATGTTAGCCCTGGGGTCTGTACCAGGACTTTTGTTGCTAATGTTAGCCCCGGTGTCTGTACCAGGATTTTTGTAGCTAACGTTAACGTTAGCCCTGTTAGCCTAATGTTACATTTTCAATCATTGCGACCCCTTTGATTGCCTTTTTAATACGCTCTGGGGTCTGCATTCCTCCAGTTGAGAAACACAAACTTACATGCACAATGGTACTATAATTTCCATGGGACAAATTAATGTTACCATGGTTCTTTATCTGGGTACCAAACCCGATCCCTGGTTACTAAGACTGTGCATTTTAGCATTAGCCCATGTGGTACTTGGAATAATGCAGTGAAAGCAACTCTGTTTCTTCATACAGCACGGTTCAGTCATCGGAGTTATCTTACAGTATGAATAACATTAGCCTACTTAGCGGCGCTGCATTAATCTGTCCTCGGCTGTCTAATGATCCTTACCCTGCACGCAAAGAGGTCCAGGAGGGAGGGAGAGAGAGAGAGGGAGAGAGAGAGAGAGAGGGGGGAGACGGCACCAAATTTAACAAGGCAAAATGTCACCATGACGTGGAATAATTCCAATGGACCTCACACGGTATTGGAATTTGGCTCAATGTGGGGAGGAAATCGATCTGCACACATGTTCATCACAGAGTCCAATACTGGAGCGACTGCAGCTTATTAGCCCGGCCGCTCGCTTCACCTTTGGTCTCGCACTTTGTTCATTATAAATCCTGGTTCACCGAACACCTATGAGACAGGAGCCATGGTTTGAGTAAACTGTCCTGGTAACGAGCTAATACGCTTCGGAGCTGACGTAGCTTTGCGTTCCTAGCGTTGGATATAAAAAAAAATAATGGGATTGGCCTCAGTAAACTCTAGGATTGAGTCAAGGTTGTCAAACATAAGGCCTGCGGGGCAGAACCGGCCTGGTGTACAGCTCTGTACGGCCCCAAAAAATGGTTTTATTGTTATTATAATTAAAATGGTGTTTGGTTGGTCAGTTGTGTTGGTCGTTTATCACCCAAATTTAGTGAATATAAAATAATAAATAAATACCATATTGGTAAATTCCTATAAGTAAATTAGTGCCTTTGAGGATATTTGTCTAACCCCCCCCCACCCCCACCTAATGAGTATGACACCCCCGATTAATTGAACGAAACGTTGAACGTTTTACAGATTACGTTGTGTTCAAATGTTTCCGTTTGTTTTGACGTCGTCTCCCCCTGGTGTTCATCCTGTCACCTGGTCGGTGCTGTCACTTGGTTGATTGTTTCCATATTCACGTCACTTTGTTCTTGTTTGGATGATGGATGGATTTGATGAAGTCGTCGACCAAATCGTGTTCTTTCAGTCAAATTGGTTTTTCCAGAAATTAACAACAACATTTTTCATAATTTCTGCTCCTCCTGAATTATTGACACGCTTTAGAACAGAAATTTAAATTTGGAGCGGGACATGGTGTAAACAAACAAACCAATTTCTATTGATATGCAGATCCCTTGGATTAGATTAGATTAGATTAGATTAGAGTCAACTTTATTTTTATTCATAATGATTAATCCTAACTAATTTACAGGCAAATGTATAAATATATATATGTGTATATATATATTTCTTTTTTATTTATATGTATATTTTTGTGTATATATTTATATATATTTATTTTTATATTTATATATGTAAATGTATATACAGTATCTTTACATATATATAATTCTGTATACATGCAGACACAGTGCATATATGTATAAAAAAGTATATAGTGCTTATGTATACCATATTTAAACCGTAAATATACAGTGTAAAATATATTTACGGCGTACAATAATGTGCGTAAATATTGAGCAAATAATGAATACTGAGTTTGAACATGTACAGAATCCAGTTTTATTTACCAGTCCATCAGTGGTGAGTGTCGGGGGGGGGGGTTGATACACAACCCTGACCGCTACAGTAATATTAGCTGTACTACAGTATTAGCAGAATGTATTTTTTTAAACTGCACAATAACGGCTTGTAGAATTGGGATTTAAGCAGCGGCTTTATTTTAGTGAAATACATTCATACATAAACTTGTATTTCATTTGTTAGCGATGGATTTTACCCTTTAGCCGCTACACTTTTTCTTCTTCTTCTTCTTCGTCTTTATTTAGCCGCTACACTTTTTCTTTTTCTTCTTCTTCGTCTTTATTTTTGCCGTTTGAGCCCAAACCCCAGCAGAGACACCAAACCTCTTCACATCACCGTTAAAGCTCAGTCAGCTGTCAACGGACGTTTGACTGAAGTCTTCACCTGTCAATATTTTACCGCACGATGATGGACACGGACAAGGTCACAGACTCCTGCTGGTAACCGGAGCTGGTGCAACGCTAAGTGCGGAAAGTCGGCCCGTCCATTAACGGTGCCGCGTTTCGAAATCTGATCGAGTCACAACTTAACATGTCAAGACAAATCGGCGTCTGGCTCGTTCTCTGTGATCTGGGTAATGTACAGGTAGCTCTCTCTGTCTGTCTCTCTCTCTCTCTCTCTCTGTCTGTCTCTCTCTCTCAGATTGAAGGAATCTGAGAAGCTAATGAGAAGGAACGAGCTCTCGTTTTCCAAGCAGTTTATTTATTTATTTATTTATTTTTACTTTAGATGCTCTCTCTGGTTTATGAAGCTGCCGTTCCTCTTTTTATTTTGTTCTTCTTTGAACCGAGATGTTAAAAAACATCTTTTCTGTGATTTGTTTTTCTTTTTTTTCACACTCCCACAGTCTGTTTTTTTAGCGTGTACAGAACAAGGCGCTCACTCTGATGAAATAAGTGAACAATCTCAAACAAAGACACCATTTCTACTGAGCAGTACAACAGAACACCAGCAGAATATATACTCACTGAGTTCCTCAGCTTGGAGTACTTTGTTTATTCACTTTCAACATGATGAATAAACCAAACAGTTGGAAATAAGAAATAAAAATGAAAGGAAGCGAGGAAGGATCAGCAAAAGAAGGGAAAGGAAGGAAAGAGAAAGGAGGATGAATAAAAGAGAGGAGGGAAAGAAGGAAAAAAGGAAGGAAGGAAGCAGGTAGGAAGGAAGGAAGGAATCAAGGAAGAATGAACAAAAGAGAAGGAAGGAAGGAAAGAACTGAACGTAGGAAGGGAGGAAGAAGGCAAGGAATGATAAATGAAAGAGAGGAGGGAGGAAGGAAGAATGAAAGAGAGGAGACCTCATGTTAAACTTTCTTCACCATTATTTCAGTTTCTTTCTTCTTTGACCTTTTTGCTCAGAAACAAACTAATAAAAAATAGCTACAAGTAACAAGTACTGGAACGACTGAGGTGTCGGAACATAATTGGTCGATTTACTTGGAAAAGAAATATATACAACACATACATGTGAGAACGTCTCTGAGTGTTCAGTTCTCTGTGATTTGAGCCCCGACTGAGTGGAAATTAAACTCCGAGTTTTTTTCTCTAAAGTGCTCTGTTGTGGGGACATGTCCAGGTCTCCAACTAGAAAAGAGTGAATTTGGAGGTTTAAATCTGAGTTTGACTTTAGGATTATAAACAGGAGGATTAGGATTATTCATACATCTGTACTGGTTTAAGTTAAGGGCAACAATTGGTGCATATCCTCTATTTCAAATTTAATTTTTTTTAAAAATATATAAATATAGTTTTATATATAAAACTATATTTATATATTTTTAAAAAAAATTAAATTTGAAATAGAGGATATGCACCAATTGTTGCCCTTAACTTAAACCAGTACAGATGTATGAATAATCCTAATCCTCCTGTTTATAATCCTAAAGTCAAACTCAGATTTAAACCTCCAAATTCACTCTTTTCTAGTTGGAGACCTGGACATGTCCCCACAACAGAGCACTTTAGAGAAAAAAACTCAGAGTTTAATTTCCACTCAGTCGGGGCTCAAATCACAGAGAACTGAACACTCAGAGACGTTCTCACATGTATGATATGTGTATCTATATATATAAATATATATACACTCATACACACATGTGTGTATATATATTTATATATACACACATATATATGTGTATGTATATATATAAATATATGTGTATATATATATTTATATATACATACACACATATATGTGTGTATATATAAATATATATACACTCATACACACATATATATGTGTATATATTTATATATATACATACACATATATATGTGTGTGTATATATATTTATATATACACACATATATATGTGTATATATATATATATTTGTTCTCGTAGGTTAATCAAGTGTCTCCTCTGACATGTCCACAGGCCACCTCGGGGGTCAGTGGCGCCATCTATTTCCAGAGCCCAGCAGAAAGACCAGACATGTCCAGGAGTCCCACGTCTCAGGTGAGGAGCTGAGTGAGGAATGTGAAGGTAATGTGTTCTGTCCCCAGTGGAGTTCTTCTGGCCAAGGAAAGTGTTTCAGCTGCACCGTCTCACCAGACAGACAGACAGACGAGGACGGAGATGGGTCCCCCCGGTGGTAGGGTAAAGGACACCTGAGGGACCCAGACTGAAGGGGGCGGTGTGAATGTAGACCACTCAGCTGTGGCCCAACACTGTGGGCCAGTTAGTGTAACTAACTCCACATCCTCGTGTGACGGCTGTGTGGTGTGTTTGAGTGTCACACGGTGCTGGGAAATAGTTCTCCTTGAGGGGATGATGAAACAACATTTTCATGGTCTTAAAGCACAAATACATGACAGCAGGTGACCAGAGCTGCGGCGAGCGTCCAGGGTCTGGTCGACCTCGTTCAAAATGGATGTTGCGTCGGGAAATAGAGAGAGCTTTTCTGACCGGTGTTTGAAGCGTCCGTCTGACGGTGAAGGACTGAGGCGTTGAAGGGATTTCCTCTGTGGTGGTTTAATCTAGTGTAGCTTATCAGCCTGGGAGGGGAAGTGGAGGGGGGGGGGCATTTTGTGGAGTATAGATCCCCCTGTGCAGATAATAGTGAGTTGTTGTACTTTGCAAAATCCTTTTATTGGACCTGGATTGTGACAGCAGTTAAAGTCTAGAACGAAATATCTATATTTGACAAACTGAACAAACTCCTCCTGAAGTTATATATTTGGACAGATGTGGAACTTTATAAATATATGTAATATTTATATATGTACATGTATATATATATATATGTTTATACAGAATGAATATACAAATGTATATCTATATACATATATGCATATATGTATCTATGTAAATATATATATATATTTATATACATATATTTACATATGTATATATTATATGTATATACATATATTTACATATATACATAAATCCATATATGTATATGTAAATCCATATATGTAAATCCATATATGTATATATACATACATATCCATACATGTATATATTTATGTACATATATTTACATATGTATATATTATATGTATATACATATATTTACATATATACATATATGCATTTATGTATCTATGTAAATATATGTATATATTTATATACATATATTTACATAGATACATATATGCATATATGTATATATGTAAATATTTGTATATATGTATGTGTGTGTATAAACATATATATACATTTCAACTCATTACGACTGAATGTGATGTGGAATCTAAAAAACACAAACTGAAACTAAGGAACTGAGGTGAATGTTCACGATGACGTCGACTCTAATCATCGCCGTCGTGTTTTTTTTTCAGGTTTCTGACCAGTGACATCATGAAGATGTTTGTTCTCCTCTGCAGCGGAGCTGAGGAATGAGGACAGTGTCGTCGGTGACTAATCTGTCGTCCTCCCCCGGTGAGTACTGACCACGCCAGACCATAACCTCTCTCTCTCCCTCCCTCCCTCCCTCCCTCTCTGGGGGGGGTGAGGAGGGTGACATCTTCATTATCTCGCTGACACATTAAAGCTCGTACACTGCAGCTCTTCAAGGGCCTTCGGGGGTGACCTGAGCTGGGTGACCACCGTGACCACACGTATGAACACACACACACACAAACACACACATGAACACACACACACAACAGCAGGGACATTTTCACCGTCACATGACCTCGAACTCAAATGTAAATATTAATATCTTTTTTTTTCATTGATTAAGGAGATTTTGACCCTCATTTACAGAAAGACTCTCAGTTACCACCGGGGTAAAAAAGACAACAAAAAAAACCATACAGTACTGTCGAATATTCATACTGTGCTGTGAAACGAAATATATCACGATATTTCAGTGTATTGTGATATTTTTTTTCAATTATGATTTAAAGATTTAAGAAAATGTAAGATGACGGGGTGACGACCCACATGTTTGACCACACACACACAACTGCGATTAATACAAAGTCTCATCCCAACATAGATTGCGAGGCAGCCTGAAGTTGTTACATGTCCTTTATGTCCTCTCCTGGTTCACACACACACACACACACACACACACACACACACACACTGGTACTGTACACACAAACGCAGCGCTCCACTGACAAGATACATGATGAACGCGTCCACGGTGATTTATAATAACTCACTCCGCAGCGGTTCCATTGCAGGGGAGGAAATTGAACAAACAGGCCGTGTTATCTGTCAGCAGACGAGCCAGTTCAAGTTCAAGACGCTGCCTGTCAACGACAATTGACTGCACGGCTGATATATTAGACCTTAATGGCAGTGGAAAAAAGAGGCTCTTAACGATTGCCTTTGCTGGGCACGTGAAGGTCCCACGGAGGGAGAAACAAATGGTTTCCTGAAGTAGTATCCTCCTTCCCAAAAAAAAAAAAAAAAAAAAAAAATATATATATATATATTTATATATCTTTTCCAGATGCCACTGTGACACGGAGAAAGGAAAAGGTGCCGGGAAGATTTTTAATTTTAACCTGAACCTTTTACTTCACTACTACTATCATGAGAAAGAGGTCGTTGGTGTAAATATATATGAAAGAATAAATATATTAGGATTTAAAAAAGAAGAAAAAAAGAAACATTAAAAGTATTAGTAGCTAGTAGTTCATTTAATTAAAAAAAAAATCACAAAAGGCCTGGGGCCGTGCTTTTAATATGATTTAACATTAAATTATATTTACAAATATAATACCATTTGTAGTAATATTGAAATTAATTATTTTAATAAGTCAAATATATTTTAGTTATAATATATATGCATATATCATTGTTAATAATTTTCTTGTATATAATAAAAATCTAATATATGCACTTATATTTAATTTTTTTTATAAATAAATAACAAATATATATAAATATATAACAAATATATATATAAATATATAACAAAAACAATTGAATAATGATAATATCTCATTTATAATAATTTAAATAATAATTTAAAATATAATCATGATAAAATTAATAATTAATTAAACAAAATAAGAAAAATAATAATTGTTTATGTTATTTAAATTATTGTCATCACATAAAAAAATGTAGACTTCAGACTGACTTTAACTTGTTTATTTTCACAGCCCAACAGCCCCCCCACTCCCCTCCTTAACCACATCTGTACGTCCTAGTATTCAATCTGGATCTCGTTGTTTCCGCAGCCACACAAAGTCAGGTTTTAGGTTCAGTTTTTACTGCAGTATCGGCTCAAACACCAGGTTCTGTTCATCGATAGAAAATATTATTTATTCACGTTAAAACCACGTGAGAAAGTTCTAGATCTGAGGAGATGAATTCTCCACGGTGCTGTTGAACTTCGGTTGTTGACGTTGAAGCCTCCACAGACACGTGCTGGGGTTTACCACCGTACTTTACCCCCGGGGTGCTTCGGTGAAACTCAATCTTTTTCCCCACAGTGTGTGTAAATGCCACTACAGTTAAGACCTTAATTCTGCCTGATCTGTGCCCCGTTTTTTTTTCTTTTCTCTCTCTCTCTCTCTCTCTCTCCTGTTGAAAATGCACGGCTCGCCCGTTAAACAAGTAAATAATGAATGAGTTGTTTTTCAGGAAGTCTCCGTGTTTTGGTTACTGGTACTCATTAGAGCAGTTCTTAACACATTTCGAGTGTGAAATACCGCCAGAAAATTAATTCAATATTTGTTCAGAGTGAGTGTGTACTTTTACACATTTCATCCCCTCCTTCCTCCTCGCCTCTTCTGGGTTTTTTTTGTTTTGGTTTTTTTTTGGGCAGTGGAAAAATTACCTGTAGTGTAATTAATAACGACTGTAACTGTATCAGGGATGAACACTTACACGGGGACTCAGTGATAATTAGCCCGGGGCGGTGGGAGCGTGACAGTCTGCCAGGCTGCATTTCAGCGTTTTCCGACAAGTTAAAAATAAATATGAAACATCAGGTCTTTTTATTTCATGCAGCTTCGCAAACTGGGATCAATAATGCGCTTAAAAAACAGGAGTGCGGTTCCTGTAGCGGTCGGCTCTCATCTCGTCTGTCACGTATTCTGCCGCGTGGCGTTAAGAAAAAAAACAAAACCGAGTCGTCCATGACCGGTCCTGACAGAGACGCTGGTGTCGGGGAGGGAGGACGGTCTGAATGACTGCGTCCTCCGTGGTTTTACCGTAACAACACTCTTATTGCCGTCATTTCTCTAAATCATGGACTCATAAATGCAGCGTTGCGGCGCTCCCGCTGCTTGGATTCCACTTTAATTTATATGTAAATGCATTTGTAGCCTGTGTATTGTTGGAGCGTCGTTTGTAGGAATGAGACGTGGGATGTTTGTGTCCAACTCTGGAGGATAAGTCCAATTTCTGGGAGTTGGAAGATAATTTTCCGCAGAGTGAGCGAGAGAGATTTGACTTTTTCTGGTTTGTTAGTGTTTATTTGGAATCCTGCGTCACATCAGGTTCAAAGGTCGGGCCTCACTCTCCGGTTCTTGTTTTTGGATTTAGATTGTTTATTGTCTGGAGGGTTTTTGAAAGTAATGAGCGAATCATTAGTTCAACACGTGACTTTTTCATGTGAACATTGTCCTGGTGTGTGTGTGTGTGTGTGTGTTGGAGTGGAGCAGAAAAACCGTACCGTTGGTGTGACGGTTCAGTGAGATGAAGGAGGAAGTGAAGGTCGCGCTGGGTGATTTATACAGGTCCAAGTGAAACATACAGTGAAGATAAGACTTTTCCCTCCAACCCCTCTGTGAATACTGGTCTATATGAGGGTGAGTCAAAAAGTACTAAGACAAATGGGCAAAAAAAAAATCCTAATAAATAATCATCATAGGAAGTGAGTAATCTTTTTCTTTACATACATATAAGTCTCTAATATATAATAATATAACATAATAACAATAATAATATAACAATAATAATAATTATTATTTTTATTACTATGATTGTAGTAAGCAATAGAAATTAGAAAAGTTATAATAATAGTAAAAGTATAAATATGTGAATGTTTTTATTATTAATAATATTATCGCCAAGAAAATGAATAATGTTATTTACCATAATGTTGGTATAATATATTTATAGGCTCTATATGTAGAGTATACATGCATGTGTATATATGTATGTATATATTTGTATATATGTATGCATATATTTATATATGTATCTAAGTATATGTGTCTGCGTACATATATACAGTTCAACAGTCTAACATCGGTGTAGATGTTATTTTGTTTTTGCCTGTCTTCAGCTCAGCCTCCTCCCTGAGGTCAGGGGTGAGGTCAGGGGTGAGGTCAGGGGTGAGGACGGTCAGGGTGGGCTGAGGTCAATGACCTGGAGTTTTCTGCTGCAGCAGTGAAGGATGAACACGTGCTGCAATCGAAGGTGTTTCTAAATGTTCACCTGCCTTCACTGCAGTCAGGTGACTTCCTGTCGTTGGCAGAAAACCAAAGCCCAGCAGCCGACACTGATCTCCTCCGTCTCTGCTAGCACCTCCTCTCTCTCTGCTAGCACCTCCTCTCCACTTTGATCCAGAGAAACCAAAGCTGACGGTCTCTGAAGTTCACGGCCGAGTTCAACCTGGTTTTCAATGATAACGATAACGATTTCAATTTTATAATTTTTTTATTTTTATAATAGTATTTTCATATTATAAAAACAGGCTAACACTAAGGCTAACAGAAAGAGTATCACAAAGGCTAACACACATGCTAACAGAAAGACATAACACTATAACAGTATTGTTATTCTTATTATTACTAACCCATTTTTAAGCTTTGTTTATGATACTTTTTGTTTCTATGATAAGTTATTTTACAATTACAACCTTCATATTATTTTCTATAGTAATAATAAATAATAATCATTTCAATCTTGTTTTTAGGGAAACAATGTTATATAATGAAATCACAGTTTTTGTTTAATAAAAAAAATCAAAAACATTTTTAATCTAAATTATTTGATTTTATTACCTAATCCGTTGAGATCAAATGTGTTTTCAACACAAATAAAACTGATATTTTACCGGACTTTGGGAAACAGCTGACCTCAGATTGGACCAAAGTTTCTGCGCCCCCTGGTGTTCTCTCAGCTTCTGCGCCAACTTGTTTCCTTTCCCACATACTTTACTGTGAGCGTCTCTGGGCTGTGACCCATGACCCCGCCAAGACAGTGTGGACAACGAGCAGAAGTTAAAAAGGTTGAGGGGTCGTTCATAATCAATCCTTATAGTCCCCCCCCCCCCCCCCCCCCCCCCAGGACAGGGAATCGATGGATGGCCCATCATGAAAGCCCTGTTGGTCTGTGATGTTGAGGGCACGATGAAGGAGAGCGTTCGATTATCGGGCACCAGGTGAAGGACCAGCCGTTCCTCCTGAAGGATGGGGTTGAGTTGGGAAATGAAAGCATCCCATAATAAACCTCCCAGCACAGTG